GGCAAGAGTGAGACCCTGCCTCAAAAACAAACACGAAAATGAAAGAAAGGAAAGGAAAGGAAAGAAATGCAATTGCCATTGTAATAGCATGGAGAGGTGGAGCCTTTAAAAGGTGATTGGGTCCCCCTAGGACCACGTGTCCTGAAGGCCCTCGCCAGATATGGCCACTCTATCCTAGACTTGCCAGGCTCTAGAACTGGGGGCCGACTACACTTCTGTGCATCACGAATGACGCTCCCTGCCTGTGGTCTTCTGTTACAAACACGGAAAACAGACTAGGATGGGTCAGAGAGGCAATGTCAGACACTACTCTTTACTCATTCACCATCCTGCAGGGTGACTGGCCGGCACAAACCCGCCTCATCTGTCTGGTGAAGCGGTGGCCCCTTCACATTCCACGTGTGTCCCCACTCTGGTGTGGCAGCTCCCTGGGGAGATTCCCACAGATCACACCCACTGACAGGTGAGGAGCTGGAAGCCAGGACCACAGGGCCACCTGCTTGGTGCCAGCCAGACAGAAACTGCACCGCTGGTCCCCAGGAGACTATTGTAGGACCAGATGTAGCACAAGGCCCTGGTGACAAATAGACCAGTTTCTCTCAGGCACAAGCCATCTGCATGCTCACTTGGCAAGAGCCAGGCCTTGACACCTCTGTCTGGAGACCCTGACCTGGGTTGCCACCTAAGCGCCATAACCTGGGGTAGAGTCTAGACTCTGTGGCACCTGTCACCTCTGTCGGGCAGAGAACAACCATGGCTTCGCTGGCCTCCGGGAGGGCTCATGAGGTTCTCGAGAAGTGAGCTGACAGAAATTCCATGAGGACGTGGTGATGAGCACTATGTTAAATATAAGTCTAAGCACCGGTCTCTGGTGACACCAGGGACCAGGCAAGTGACAAGAATAGAGGCTATGGAGTCTCACACCCTGGTCCCATATTTTGCAGCTGGGCTGCCACGCAACTCTCTAAGCCTCAGGTGTCCCCTGGTCAAACAGGAAAGACAACAGGAACTCACATCTTGCTGTTTTTAGGTGCTGACCATCCACCCAAGGTTGTCTGTTAAAAGGCTTGGTGCCACTGCTCCTGGGAGCTGGGGAGCCTTTGGGAGGTCCTGGGGTCAATGGGACATGGCCTCAGAGGAGGTGGAGCCCTGGGAGATCACCCTCTGCAGAGACCGTTAGGTCACTGGAAGACTCAAGGGAGATTCTGAGGACCACAGCTTCTTCCTCTGCATCCTGGCTCCTGATGCTTCTCCACTCACCTCCACCTTAAGTGCTGCCCTCGCCAGAGGCCCACAGCAAAGCAGCTGCCAGCCCTGGGACGGGAGGCTCCAGGACTGAGCTACACACCTTTCTTCTCCATGAGTCCCAGCTCAGGCACTGCATGGCAATGTTTGGAAGCCGGCAGGTGTGCGAGTTTGCAGTGAAGACAGACTGAGATGAGCGCCCACGACTGTCAACGCTGCACCTGGACACGAGCAGCCGGAGGGTGGCCTGTCTGCGGTGCGGCTATCAGCTGTCACTGCCCCATGGACTCTGCAGGACTCCTCACCCATGGAAGGCTCCCCATCAGTCCCCTCTGACTCAGGGGCAAACCCAAGAGCTGACTAACTTCTTCCCTCCACGGAAGCCTCTGACTCCTGGGGAGCGGAAGAGAAGTTCAGTCTTCACTCCGTGGGGCTGGGCTCGGCAGGTGTCTGTGTGTCTGTCCTTTCTCCTTTCCTTTTTTTTTTTTTTTTTTTTTCCTGTACTGGGGATTGAACTCAGGCCCTTGTGCTTGCAAGGCAGGTGGCAGAACCACTGGGCAAAATCCCCGGCCCTTGGCAGGTGTGTTTTTAAGAGGAGGGGAGCCATGGGGGTGGATGGGGAAGATGGGCTGGGAAGGAGAGGCCCAGTCTGAAGAGGCTGCTGGGGGAAGTGACCCAAGCAGCCCTCCGGCCTCCGCCCCACTCCCTCACGGCCCCTCAGGTGTGCACGGCAGAGATGAGGAGACACGCTGTGTGCAGCCACGGAGAGTCAAGAGGTCACAGCTTGGGTCTGATACAGTGAAAGATGAGGATTCTTATTATCAGAGACCCAGAGAGGTCAAGAGGAGGGGGGATGTGGATTCGAGCTCAGCAGGGCTTGTGGCCCAGGAGGAAGGTCCTAGCATCACCGGGGCTCTCTGGGCCACACAGTCCTAGACTGTGCTCTTGGTAGCACAAGTGTCTGATCCAAAGGAAGACAGAATGAGCTCAGAGAGGACCTGAGAGCCTGGGACTGTGCACAGCCAGGCAGAAGGGCCGTTCCTTCCCAGGGATGAGGGGACAGGCACGTCTGTGCTCTGGCAGGAGGTCATCTGTACGGAAAATAAAATAAGAACCCCACCTCACTCCACACACCAAAACAAAGTATGGCTAGATTAGAATTACCTGCAAACTACTAAACCGAGAAAGAAATGGAAAGAAGCCAGGTTGGGCGGTGCATGCCTATAATTCCAACACTCGGCAAGGCTGAGGCAGGAGGATTAGAAACTCAAATCTAGCCTGGACAAGTTAGCAATTTAGGGAGACCTTGTCTCAAATTATAATTAATTAATTAAAAGGCCCAGAGATGTAGCTCAGTATGAAGGTCCTAAATTCAACCCTCAGTACCGCACGCCTGCACACTCACACACACGCACACACACACAGAATAAAAGGAATAAAACAGCATATATTTCAGGAAAGGCTTCTCTAAATATAAAGGAAAGCAACACACACATACAACCCATTTCTAAAGAATGACAGTGTTAAGCATAAACATATCTAACTTCTAGATATTAAGAATTACCATAATGATAATAACAAACTGGAAAAACGTTTTCTGTGCATGTCAGAGTACAGTAGGTACCCTTTTCATATGAAGATTGGTGCAAACGCACCATGCGTGCCTCTCACTGCCCAGGGCTCAAGGCCTCCACCCCATTTCTTCAGCGCCCGACACAGAAAGCCACTGCAGGGGACTTTGACGGTCACCCCTGGGTCCCCAGAAGCTTCAAGGACAAAGTGCTCAGCTTCCCTACGACCACACACAGGGAACATGAAGAGGACGGCAGGGGCAGATCCTCCTGTTACCCCTGTCCTGAAGGAGAAACTGAGGCTGAGAAGCAGTCACCTGCACAAGCCATCCTGCTCATCAGAAGGCAGACCTGGAACTCGTGCTCTGTGTACCCATCACACCTCTCCGCCTGCTGCTGACCCCACAGGTGCTACCACAGGACCCCTCTCGGGGGGTGGGGGCAATGAGGAACCTGCGGAGGGGAGCCCTGGAGGACATGAGGCGGTCTCCTTCTAGGCCTCCTCCCTGTCCCTTTGTTAGGGGCTTCACTTTCCAGTGGTGGGGTTTGGCCTGCATCCTGCCCCACCTCTGGGAATTGCTGCTTACAGGAAACACTCAAGTGTGACTTCACTGGTGCTTTCTGTGTTCTTTTGGGTGGAGCTGACAGCTTTTGACCTCCCAATTGCATTCTGGAAACACATTCTGTGGAAACAGCCAGCAAAGTGTAAAAAGGCACAAGAGTATTTATAGCAGTATTAAGCCCAGAACTGCCCTCAGCATTAAACAGCAGGGAAAGGGTGCAAAATATCTAAAGGCCCACTTGAGCAAATGAGGCGTAGCTATAGCCAGGTGATAAAAGGACACCTAATGGTGTGGAAATACATTTTGAGTGAAAAAATCCTGTACAATTCCAGCTTTGCATGTAATAGTGACCAGAAGTACTGACCCTAAACTATAAGTAGGAATTATCTTTCAGTTGTTAGATTATGGGCGGTTTTTATTTTCTTCTTTGTATTGTTCAGATTTTCTACGATGTTCATGTGTTCTTTTTGTAATTAGAAGAAATAAATCCAGTACTACGTATTTTTAAAAAGAAAATAGGTGGTGCATGCCTGTAATCCCAGCACTCGGGAGGCTGAGGCAGGAGGATCACTGTGAGTTCAAGACCAGCCTGGGCTACATAGTGAGTTCCAGGTCAGTCTCAACTACATAGTGAGATCTTGTCTCAAAAAAACCAAAATAGAGCTGGGGATTTAGCTCAGTGGTTCCACTGACTGCCTTGCAAGCACAGGGTCCCAAGTTTGATTCCTGGTACCAAAAAAACAAAAAACAAAGCAAACAAATAAGTAAATAACCACAGCTTACTCTGCATAGGTAGTGGACCCCAGCCCTAAGAAACAGCCCTACTGGCCAAGGAGCTGTACAGCTGTGGTGGCCAGACCTTCCCCATGCTCTGCACATCTGTCACCAGCCCCTGGACAATGTGTGGCCAATGCAATGCTCTAAGTTCTAGGCTTGCTTTTGGGACCCAAATGTATACTAGCTCTGGTGCATGATCAAGGGCAGTCAGCTTGCCTAGACCAGGGGCAGACAGAACCAGGGGACATGGATCAGCCAAGCCCGCGAGAACCCAGTAGGACGTGACAGAGCAGCAGGGAAATCCTAACCCAAATCTGGGCCTTGGAGACACCCAAATCTGATCATACGTGGACAGCGGAGTGGCTGTGTGATGTCAGGCCAGTTTTTAAACTCTCTGGGCCTCAGTTTTTTCATCTCTAAAATGAAGGAGGGATTACTTATCTCTCAGATCATAAACATTCTAATAAATTAAATGAGCATAAACTGGGCATGGTGGTACACAAGTATAATCCCAGTGCTCAGGAGGCTGAGACAGGAGGATTACCTTGAGTTTGAAGCCAGCCTGGACTGCATCATGAGTTTGAGTCCAGCATGAGTTATACATCAAGACTTTGTTTCAAAAAATAAAACAAAACAAAAAGAGCACAGAATAGAGCTCACTAAACAACAGTTAATGTCAAAGAGCCCCTGGTAGTCCCAGAAAGTTGGCTGTGCCATACAGGAAGGCAGCCCTGTGGAAGAAATGGGAGAGGAGGATTCCAATGGACATGGCCTGGTGCCCTCGCTCACTCGCCTGCCCCTCTCTCTGCTGGTCATTGGCACTGCCCTGGGGGAGCAGAGCTACCTGCGGTGGGTCCCAGGTCCAAGCTGGACTCGTTCAGCTCCTCCTCCTCCTCCCAGAAGTACTGTGGCGGCTGCAGGATGCGGGATTCCTCGCTCTCCTCACTGGGGAAGCCTGAGCCGGGGGCACCCAGGCCAGCCCCCAGACCCATGGCCTCACTCGGCTCCTCTGCATCCAGCGGCTCCAGGCCAGTGGGCAGCAGGAGGTCTAGCAGGGAGGTGGAGGTGAGGCCCTCGGGGCCCGGCTCATCTGTCCCCGCTGAACATGCACCCAGTGACAGTCCTGTGAAGACAGAAAAGCCACTGTTAGAGAGGCAGGGAGGGTCACGGGTGGCCCTGGGTAGGGCGCAGCACTTGCCACTGAAAGCCACTACAGGGAACTTTGACGGTTGTCACCCCTGGGTCCCCAGAAGCTTCAAGGACAAAGTGCTCAGCTTCCCTACGGTCATACACAGGGAGGATGAAGAGGATGGCAGGGGCAGTGAGGACCCAAGGACCTGGTTCTCAGCCTGGAAGCAGCTCTGAATGCCCAGCCTTCGCTGGCAGCTGTGCCCAGCAGGGGCGGAAACACAAGCCATGCCAGGATTCCAGGTCCCCAGGCGTGCATGCTGGACAGAGACGTTCCCAAAGCTGCCTGGACAATATGCTTTGTGTGCCGGCCATGCAGCACACATCCAGAACACACTTAAAACATCGCCTGAGATCCTGGGTCCAACCTCTCCCGTGTTGGTAAGCTGACACACGTGTTCAGAATCTTGGATCCTCCCTCCTGCTTTATCCAAGACATTTGAACAAAACAAGTTTCTCATTCAGTACGAATAGGAAACGTCACTTGACCAACTCCAGGATGTAACTGACTATTCTAGGTCTCCAGAATGTGGCTCATGACCCCAGCCTCAGTCCCTTCCTGGGAAAATGGGGACGCAGGAGAAAAGGACCTACAGGCCCTTCCCAAGACTGGCACCCTCGGTGAGTGGGAAAGAGGCCTAGGAGTCCCCCTCCCTGATGGATGAACAGTGTGACCTGGCTCGACCCGAACATGTGGAGAGTTCTGGCGATGTTCACAATGAGAGTGAGCCGGATTTGTTCCCAATGCCATGCTGAGTGCTTCGCCGGAGCTTTCTGAACGCTCACCTACACCACCAGCTGTGCCCAGACAGCAGGATGTGAGGGGATACACACTCCTGCCAGACACAGGCGCCAAGCCCAGGATTGATGAGGGGCCCCGGGGCGGCACGGATGGGGAGAAAGCAGCATCCGCAGGAGGATCCTCAGGAGCAGAGGACTTGGTGCCAGGAGCGCATGGTTTACACTCGGACTTCTGCAGCTGAGCACTGTGCCAGGGACTTCACACCCCAGCCTTAGCATCCTCATCTGGTGAACAGGGACAGTAAGTAGTTCCTACAGCCTCCACCCCACCCCAGGCAATGTGTGTCAGCTGCTCTACGAAGAGCTCCATAAACCAGAGTATTCTGCAAACACAAGAGTTATTACCCTATTTAAAGAACTAGGAGTGGTGGTTCTATTCTTTTTTTTTGTACTGGGGATCAAACTTGGGACGACCTTGTGCTTGCGAGGCAGGTGACAGCACCACTGAGCTAAATCTGGGAGTGGTGGTGTACACTTGCAATCCCAGCTACTTGGGAAGCTGAGGCAGGAGAATCATAAGTTCAAGGCCAGCCCAGGCAATTTAGAGAGACTCATCTCAAAATAGAAAAAATAAATAAAGAGGGCTAAGGGTATATAGCTCAGTGGTTTCCATCCCCCATACCAGTGAACCAGAACAAAACCAAAGCAACCAAAAAGCAGAGCAGAGGCCTGGGAAGCCCTTGGGCTGGAAGATGATATCTAATGGAGACAAGCAATGACCAGAAGGCGACTGTGAGTAATCAGCTGCTGCCAGTCCTCGTGGTTCCGGAGCAGTCACCGGGCTCCCAAGTGGGAACACAGGAAGGGAACGGCTGTGGCCACCTCCAGCTCCGACCCTGCACAAGTCCATGTCCCCATAAGGCCACCTGCGCTCTGGCCAAGATGAGTCTGTAGCTAGGGTGGCAGCACCCTGGGGCTGCGGTGGAGCCTGTGGTGCGGTTGAGCCCGATCTCCAGTGTGATGGAACTGAAACTGACAGACCTAGGGGCCGGGGATTTAGTTCAGTGGTGCCGCCACCTGCTTTGCAAGCACAAGGTCCCGAGTTCGATTCCCCCATACCAAAATAAATACATAAATAAAAGAAACTGACAGACTTGCTCCAGGAGAAAGCGGCTGCCAACTTCTCGCCACACCCTCCCTGAACGGATCCATGCTGCTTCCAGGTAGCCCTGGCTCCACGAAGCTCAGGCCTTGTTCCTGTGTCCACGTCACCGACCAGACAGGAACTGGCACCTCCTATTCTGTGTTCCTTAGAGCCAAAGTATTTGGAAGGCAGAGAAAGCCAGGCCATCAGTTTGGGGGTGCCTGGGTTCTGTCCACCCCAGGCCTTCCTGGGGTCCTTCTGCTCAGACTCCCCTTCCTCTCATGGGGGGACCCTGGGCTGCTCCTGTTGGGTTTGCTCGAGCCCAAATCCTGTCCAGAAGACTACTGTCCACCCCCTAGCGGGTGCCTGGAAAGAACCAGGTAACCATCTTCCTAACCTTCTTCTCGAGGCCCTGTCACCAACCTCCAGCACAGACATCTTCCCAGCATGTTCTGGCCACTCCCACCCTGAAAGGCTGAAGTCTACATCCCTTCCTTGAATCAGAGCCACCTGTAGGAGTCACTGGAGCTGTGTGAAGGCAGGACACGCCTTCAGGATTGCCTCTCCAAAGGCCAGCCCTTGAGAGCCTTGTGTGTCTTCCTTTATCTAAAGGCCTCTGGATGAGCCCGCCTGAGCAGGTCTGCTGTCCATGCAGAGGACAGCCATGTCATACTTCAGCTCGAGTGCCAGCTGAGGCCCCAACAAGAGAGGCCTAGCAGGACAAGAAGTGGGACCACAGCTAGTATCACACCTGAGAGTCCCACTGAGACCAGCAGCTCCAGCCTGCAGGGTCAAGAGCTAAATGAATGGTTGTTCTAACCCAGGTCTTTGAGCATTTGGCCAGCATTAGTCATAGGAGGTCTTGTTAAAACAGGGTGTTAGCCAGGTACGGTGACACACTTGTGATCCCAATATTCAGAAGGCTGAGGCAGGAGGACTTACCTGAGTTCCAGGTCAGCCTGGGCTACATAGCAAGACCCTATCTGAAAATGAGGAAACAAGGAGCTTGGGATTAGCTCAGTGACAACACCCCTGCCTTGCAAGCACAAGGTCCTGAGTTCAATCCCCAGTACCACACACCCAGAGAGAGAGAGAGAGAGAGAGAGAGAGAGAGAGAGAGTGATAGAGTGTACAACTGGCTGGGCATGGTGGTGAACACTTATAATCCCAGCACTAAGAAGGCTGAGATAGGTACATTGCGGCCAGTTCGAGACCAGCCTGGGTTAAGTAGTGAGTTCAAGGCTAGCCCTGAACTACACAGTTAGACCCTATCTCAAAAAAGAAAAGAAAACAATACCCAGAGTAGTAAGCTTCACCCTAGAGCTTTGCATCCAGTTGGTCTGTGATTAGGGCCAAGTTGCATTCCAGCAAGACTCCAAGTGACATTTCAGTCCAGGAATCACATCCGGAGAACCACTGTTTTGAGTGACTAGATTTGGGGAATCATTTGTTACACAGAAGTAGCCAGCTGATACACTGGGAAATATTAAAAATGGAGTAGGATGTGAGTGGCTAAATTCTATTCATTTATTTATTTATTCATTCATTCATCCCAGAAGCCTTCACTGAATGCTCACTTTGGACCAGGCCCACGCAAGCCCATGTAGATACAGAAATAAGAAAGCTATGATCCCTCTGCCCCCAGAAGATTTTGTTTCTAGTAGAGAGACTAGCAAGAAATCAAGTCATTACAGGATAGTGGATGTGAGTCTGCTTGGGCCACAGGAACAGGGGACAGGAAGACAGATCTAACAGGTAGCATGGTGACAGAACTACTCACAGTGAAACGGAAAACAACAAAAGACAGAGCAGAGACTGACAGTCTCAAAGTTTGGCAGGGACTGACATTCTCTAGGGTCTAAGGCTTGCTCCTCCTGCGAAACCCACGAAGGTCACTGTGCCTGGAAGATGAACTCAAACATGGCTGCCTACCTCCCTATGTCTTAAAGATAAGCCATAAAAACAACACTCACCTCCACCTCCCCACCCTTTGCTAAGTTCTGCTTCTGTAAATTTCTGCTTGCTCCCCCATCCCAGCTAAAGAACAAATAAAAATGAGAACGAACAGAGAAATGGGCTCAGACTCTGGAAGGTGACTTCCACTGGGCCCGCTAGCTAGTGAACAGACTTGCCTTTCCCGTCAACTCTCTGGGTACCACTCTCTTCCTTGGTCTGCTGCCCTCCTAGTGCCATTTTAACAGCAGCACACTGAATGTGCTCAGGCTGCTACAGAGGAGAGGAAAGAGGGCTTGAGGGAACAGCGATGCCGGGGAAGTGCAACACCAGCTGGAAGTCGGCCCCCAGGATCAGGTACAGTAACGCTACTCAAGGGCTATGCCCTGCTAGAGCCCCAGTCACTCCTTGTCCTACAGACCACAAAGCCTCAGGGGCATGTGGACTTGGCGGGGGCTCTGGAGCGATGCAGTCTGCATGGGACTCTACGGGAGTCCTCAGGACCACCTAAGCCAGCTCTCCTCTGCGTGGTCCTCTGCAGCACTGCTGTTCAGGCTGAAATGGGCACACAGCTGGGCATGGCGGTGCACATGGCCAGTCAACCCAGCGTGCAAAAGAAAAAAAAGAAAGAAAGGGTGGGGGAGAGGAAGGAGGAGGCATGGGAACCACCTGAGGCTCCCGATTCAGTCTCCACGCCTGCTGAGGAGCACTGCTGCTGGTCCATGTGCTGGAACTGCACTTGGAGCTGAGGAAGCTCGGAGCATCTTCTACAGTGCAAACTCAGTGCTCCGGCCGTGTCCTTCGAGTAGTAGAGGAGGCTCTTCACAAACTGGCTCTGCCACCCCTGCGGTCACGCACCACTCCCGCTCGTACCCTGCACTTCCAGTTTCCACAACTTAACGCCCCGTTTGCCTTCTGGGTCTCACGCCCCTTCCTCCCCAGGCCCCCGACCAGCCCACCTACCTAATTCTTCCTCCAGCCACGAGGATGGGTCCGGGACCCCTTGCCTCTACTCTCCCAGCCCATCCTACCACCCTCTCAGACACGGGGAGCGCGCAGTCTGTGTGTCCCTTGGCACGTCAGCCTGCTCATCCTGGGTCAGGCACAGCCCCCTGA